AATTTACCAGATGTTTACTCCATGATGCGACCACGTAGTTTTATCTCTTGCTTACCCACGTCACTTTCTCTCTCTGTTTTGTCCACGCCGTTTTGTCTTATCCATCTTATCCACGCCATTTATTCATTCTCTAATAATGCTGCGTTCGGAACTCCTTGTCTTGCTCGTCCAGACAACTTGTCAGGTCAACGAAGCCGCATCCGAAACCTCAGACGAGACCAGCTCGAAAGTGAACATTCACTGTTTTTATCATACCGATGTCTTTATTTTACATGCTGGATAAGTTTTGTAAATCCTCTAATGCATAGATGATAACTTACCTGCAACTGACGAACACAAAAATACCCTTTGATGACAACAGTAAAGGGCCATAAAAATTATCTATCAATATCTTATGGTTGCCTGCAGCTGTCATTGTTTACATACAATTGCCACTGTGACGTCGTCTCGTCCTACTCGCCCGGCTGCGAAGGAGGCGAGATGGACGAGAGGGAAAACTTGTCCCGAACGCCAAAGGAGGGCTTCCGGACGGTCAAAACATCTTGTCCATCTTGTTCCGAACGTAGCATAATAGACCACGTCACTTTATCTCAGAAAAAAATACAACTGCATTCCTTTATATCTCATAATACACCACATCACTTTTATCTCCCTAACTTATCCACGTCTCTTTATATCTCATAATACAACCCACACCACTTGAATCTCTCTCACTTCTCCACGTTACTTTATATCATAATACACCACGTCACTTTTATCTCCCTAACTTAACCAAGTCACTTTATACCTCATAATACACCACACCCCTTTTATCTCCCTAACTTATCCACGTCACTTTATACATCACAATACAACCCACACCCCTTTCTCTACGCTACTCTATCCACGTCACTCTTTTGTCTCTCGATCTCTCAACCCAATAACCTCCCTCCACCAAACTTCCCCTCCAACAGCCCTGGCGAAGGCGGTGACGGGGACACAGTGGATTCCTCGCCAACGGGATACCACCATTACGTCGCTTATTTACTCGAGCAGGACGTGGTAGTGAAGCTTGGCCACGCATGCACGACAGTGAATAGGGACGTCACGTTACTCCTTTCGGTGAGTGGGTGAAGGAAGGAAGGAAGAGAAAAGAATGGAAGAGAGGAAGAGAAAAGAATGGAAGAGAGCAAGAGAAAAGAATGGAAGAGAAGAAGAAGAAAAGAATGGAAGAGACGAAGAGAAAAGAATGGAAGGGAGGGAGAGAAAAGAATGAAAGAGAGGATGATATAAGAATGGAAGAGAGGAAGAGAAAAAAATGAAAGAGAGGATGAGATAAGAATGGAAGAGAGGAAGAGAAAAGAATGAAAGAGAGGATGAATGAATGAGCTGATTTGTGAACGGGAGAGAGGAAAGGGGAGAAGGGGGGAGGAATAGAAAAGAGGGAGAGAAATGAATGAAAGAGTGGAAGAGAAAAGAATGAAAGAGAGGAAGAGAAAAGAATGAAAGAGAGGAAGAGAAAAGAATGAAAGAGGGAAAGAGAAAAGAATGGAAGAGAGGAAGGGAAAATAATTGAAGAAAGGAAGGGACAAGAATGGACGAGAAGAAGAGAGAGGAATCGAAAGGAAGTAGATTTATCATTAACAATGGATGACAGGAATAGAAGGGAATAGAAGGAAAATGGATTATTAATTAAGAATGGGAAAAAGGAAAAGAAAAACGAGATATTTACTTAAGGATGTGATTAAGGAAGGGAATGGGGGAAAAAGGGAATAAATGGAACATAATAAAAACAAAAGATTATTAAGAAAGGGAGACGTAAATGGAAAGTAATAGAAGAAAAACGTATTATTGATTAAGAAGGAGAGAAAGGGAATAAAACAAAATGGATGATTAACTAAGATTGGGTGAAAGAGAGAGGGAATAATAATAATAATAAATATATATATATTAATAAAGAAAGGAATAGAAAGCAATTGAAGAAAACAGAAGAGAGACAAGAACAGAAGAAAACAGGAAAAATGGAAGAATTAATTAAGAATGAGAGAAAGGAAGAGAAACGAATACAAGAATAATAGATTAGTGATTAAAACTAGGAGGCACGAATGGAAGGGAAAAATATATTTGTGATAATGTTTGTCACGATAGAGACAGTGATTAAAAAAAAAAAATCACCTAAACCGTCTAGTTTCTTTGATAGATTATGAATAATTGAGATAGATAATTACTTACCTTCTATTGCAGGTCGCTCATCGTCATTCATTCCAGATCATCTCAAATTCATTATTATTCGTTTCAAATCGCTTTAAAACCCACTTACATATCTCTCATTATTCAAGTCATTTCACTCTCATTATCGCTGACAAACTCAGTTACGGATCCATCATTATTCATGTCAAAATCATATCAAACTCGTTTTACACACCGTTGTATTTACATTTCAAATAATTTCACATTTAAGATTCGTTTTAAACTCACTAATTATTCACTTCGTTTTAGTATTCCTTTACAAACGCATCCATCAATATTCACTTTAAATGTTTTCACACCCATTATTTCTTTACAAACTCACTCACACATCCATCATCATTAATTTCACACCCATTATTCCCTTGGAAACTCACTCACTCGTCATTCCATCATTAATTTCAAATAATTCCACATGCATTATTCCCTTACAAACTCACTCATCCATCATTAATATCAAACAATTTTACACCCATTATTCCCTTGCAAACTCACCCACTCGTCATTCCATCATTAATTTCAAATAATTCTACATACATTATTCCCTTACAAACTCACTCATCCATCATTAATATCAAACAATTTTACACCCATTATTCCCTTGGAAACTCACTCACTCGTCATTCCATCATTAATTCCACACCTATTATTCCCTTGCAAACTCACTCACTCGTCATTCCATCATTAATTTCAAATAATTCTACATGCATTATTCCCTTACAAACGCACTCATTATTCCATCATTAATTTAAAATAATTCTACATGCATTATTCCTTTACAAACTCACTCACTCACCCATCCATCCCTCATCACTCCGATCAAATCATTCTAAAAATCCTCTCTGACCATGATATTTCCTCTCCCCCAACCACTACCAGGGTCCCTCGAACTATCCCATGAGCAACACTACGTCCTGTGAGAGAAATATAACCGACGTGGAGCTTTCTGTGACACAGCCGATCACAGACGAGTTCGACGCGACGCTTAACCAGGAATCACCTTATTATGTGAGGTGAGAGATGTTAGTTTATGAAAGTAGAAGATAAAATGAGTATTTGACAAAGTGGAAAACTGATAACTTTCGACGCGACGCTTAACTAGGAATCACCTTATTACGTGAGGTGAGAGATGTTGGTTTGTGAAAGTAGAAGATGAAATGCGTATTTGACAAAGTGTAAAATTGATAACCTATGACGCGACGCTTAATCAGGAATCACCTTATTACGTGAGGTGAGAGATGTTAGTTTATGAAAGTAGAAGATAAAATGAGTATTTGACAAAGTGGAAAACTGATAACTTTCGACGCGACGCTTAACTAGGAATCACCTTATTACATGAGGTGAGAGATGTTGGTTAATGATAGTGTGAAATCTAATGCGTATTAGACATAATTAGTGTAAAACTTATATCTTCGACGCGGCAGGAATCACCGTATGTATGGTAAGAAATGTTGTTTAATTAAGGTAGAAAATAGAATACGTATTTGACAAAGTTAGTGTAAAACTGATAAGCTTCTACGCGACACTTAACCAGGAATCAACGTCTGTAAGGTAAGAAATGTTGGTTAATGGAGGTATATACGGCTTAATCACAGGAAGAAATGCGTTTTAGATAAAACTCGTGAAAAAAAATGAAATCGATTTAAAGAAGAGAAAAACAAAAAATTGACTATTTATTCATAATGGGGAAAAAACAGTGAAATGTAATATTCGTTTTTTTTTCTTCTGTTTTATCTCATCTTGAATGATGTGTCACATTTAGAGAAATTAAAGGTATGAATGAGAATGAATAACTTATAGTCCACGTCTCTTGTGCTTTTGCATTCTCATTCATAACTTTTATACAGTTGCCTTTCCTTAATTATGACGTTGATAATTGGTTACATTTTAAAAATATTTAAAATATTTGTTTGCATATTCGTTTCCATACTGTCTACGTATAATATCTTATAACTCATTCATTTAATAAATACAGTAACACGGCAGTAAAATGAGTAAAATTAATTACTTTAAACAACAGAAAATCGGAAAAAATACCCCCCCCCCAAAAAAAAAAAAGAAAAAGAAAAAAAAAAGCTAATAATAATAACAAAACAATAAGAAGAAACAAACAAATAAAAAAATAAAATAAAAATCATCCTTTTTCTCAACTTCCCATCTTTATTCTCTTCCTCCTCCTTACTTACCTCTTCACTCCTCCGTTTCCACAGGACCTCAGACACTGCGCAGCTTCTGGTGACGTTCAGCGTGGCGGGTCCGATTTACGTGGTGTTCACGTTCCTTCCGGACATTGGCTCGGAGATGATGAATGATACAGGTGAATAGGGCGATTTAAGAATGGAAAGGGAAGAAGAATAAGATTTAAGAATGGGAAGGGAAAAGTGATAAAGAGATTTAAGAATGGGAAGGAAGAAAAATGTGATTTAAGAGTAGGAAGGGAAGAATGATAAGGTGATCTAAGAATGAGGAGAAAAGAAGAATAAGATTTAAGAATGGGAAGGGAAGAATAAAGAGATTTAAGAATGGGGGGGGAGGAATATTCAGGTGATTTACGAATGGGAAAGGAAGAGTAATCAGGTGATTTAAGAATGAGGAGAAAAGAAGAATAAGATTTAAGAATGGGAAGGGAAGAAGAATAAGATTTAAGAATGGGGAGGGAGGAATATTCAGGTGATTTACGAATGGGAAAGGAAGAGTAATCAGGTGATTTAAGAATGAGGAGAAAAGAAGAATAAGATTTAAGAATGGGAAGGGAAGAATAAAGAGATTTAAGAATGGGGGGGGGGGTGAGAATGATCAGATGTTTTAAGAATGGGGAGGGAAGAAGAATAAGATTTAAGAATGGGAAGGGAAGAGTGATCAGGTGATATAAGAATGAGAAGGGAGGATTAAGGAGATTTAAGAATGGCAAGGAAGAAGAATGTGATTTAAGAATGGAAAGGGAAGAATGTTAAGGTGATTTAAGAATGGGAAGGAAAGAATAATAAGATTTGGGGAGGGAAGAGTGATCAGGTGATTTAAGAATGGGAAGGAAGAAGAATGGGAAGGGAAGAATAATAAAGAGATTTAAGAATGGGAAGCGAAGAATGATGAGGTGATTTAAGAATGGGGAGGAAAAACGAATGTGACAAACAAAAACAAACAAAAAAACACTCCACTTCACTACCTCAACCTTCCCCATCTTTTCCTCCTCCAGGGGACTTCCCCGCCAGAGACAGCGGTCCTTACGTCCTCTCCCACGCGGTGCAGTTCACACAACCGGACAGTTACACCGCGACAGCCTCAGCAAGTAACAAGCATAACGAAGACACGGGTCCTCTCGAAAGCACGGTGACTGTGGTGGCACAACACCCCGTGGTTGAGACGTGGCAGATGGCACCGTCGGATATCGCTTTCTTGGCACCCGTTCATTGTAAGGGGATTTTTGGTTGTTTGTTGTTGTTTTCGTTGTTGTTGTTGATAGTGTTGGTTAGATTTTTTTTATTGTATTGGAAAGGGGTGTTATTTTCTTTCTTGTTTTTTGGGTCTTTTTTTCTTCTGAAATGCTTTTTGTTTATGAAGGGGATTTTTTTTTCTTTGTCTTTTTCTTCTAACTCCCATTCTTCGTTTTTCTCATTCATTTATTTTTTCTTTATTATTATTATTTATTATTATTATTATTTTCAACCCCACGGCTTTCGTAAATGTTTATTTTTTAGAAAGTATTTTCTTTCTCTTATTTTTTTTCTTAATTCCTGACTTTCGTAAACACTTATTCTTTTAGTTTTGTTTTGTTTTTTGTTTTTTTGCATTTTCTTTAATTTTCTTACATTCCCATTTTCTTCCTTTTCCTTATTATTTTATTTAAACCCTTACTTTCGTGTATATGTTCTTGTTTCCCTTTATTTTCTTTAAATCCCATTTTCTTTAAGACTTTCGTAACTACTTATTCTATTAGAAATTATATATATTTTTTTTGTCTTCCTTTTTCTTACACCCCTGTTTTAATTTTCTCTCTTTATTCTTAACCCTCACGTTCGTAAATACTTGTTCTTACAAAAGCGAATTTTTTTTTCTCTCTCTTTCTTTTTCCTACATCCACCTTTTCCCCTTCCCTTTTCTTTTTACTTCTTTTTCTTAACCCCCACTTTCGTAACTACTCAGTCTTTTAGAAGGGGGTTTTTATCTTTTTTCCTTACATCCCTATTTCCTTCCTTTTTTCTCTCTTTCTTAACCCCTACTTTCGTAAATACTCATTCTTTTAAAAGGGGATTTTTATTTTTTTTCCTTACATCCCCTAATTACCTCCGCCAAGGAGGTTATGTTTTTGACGGCGTTGGTTTTGTTCCTTCCTTTTTTCTCCCTTTTTCTTAAACCCCATTAAACCCTATTTAAACCCCTTAAACATCCCTATTTTCTTCCTTTTCTCTCTCTCTCTTCTTCTTAACCCCCATTTTCGTAACTACTTCACCGACGACTCCTATCCCCCCTCACAGTGCCGGCCGTCACGTTCACCGAGGCCACAGAGGCGCCTTTCCCCACGGATGCGACTGTGGCTGTGGACTGGGGCGATGGTTCTTCTCCCACATCCTCTCCCTTCACAGACCCGCCATCTGCGAACCATATTTATGCGTCGGGCGGTACCTACACCGTCAACGCCTTCATTTATAATATGGTTTCCAGCGTTAATGTGACTTGCGAGGTGTGTGGGTGTGTGTGTGTGTGGGTGTGGGTGGGTGGGTGTGTGGTCTTTGGTTGTGTAGGAATGGAAGGGTTTATATCTTGTTTAAGATCTTTTTTTATTTTTTTTTTTATTTATTTATTTATTTATTTATTTTTTTTTTTGTAAGGAAATGAGTTGATTTCGAATATATCTTAGGGAATTTATTTTTACCAAAATCTTTCACTTGCCGCTTATCAAAACCGAACACGGGATCAGCAAACGATGAAGAAGATATTAAACGATATAATTGTCCCCCAAAATCACAATTATTTTTACTTCATCAACGTTCTGAGGACTTTCCCACGTAATTCTTCTTTTTATTTTTAATTTCCCGCAGGTCGAAATTGTCGAGCAGATCGTCGACTTCACGGTTGCTGTGAAATACCTTCCTTATGCCCTCGCTACCACACTCAACGAGGGCACGGGGAAGGATGCAAATGAATATCCTATTAAGAGAAATCTCACTTTCTATCCTTCGATGGTTATGGGTGAGTATGGTGGGGGGAGAAATGGAGGGCCTCTGTGTGTGCGTGTGCGTGTGTGTGTGTGTGTGTGTGTGTGTGTGTGTGTGTGTGTGTGTGTGTGTGTGTGTGTGTGTGTGTGTGTGTGTGTGTGTGTGTGTATGAGGGTGAAGATATGTCCGTATGAACATTAAATGTGCAGTATGCATATTTTTTCCATACGTAAATAATACGTATATTACTTCTGTTCTATATATATCTGAACTCTTATTTTTGCAAATGATCTATATTTGGAAAGAATAGTTATTAAAATCCACCGCAATCACTATCTCTACTACCCTCCACCCGCTACCACCACCTCCATCTCCACCATCACTACCCCCACTCCTACGAATAACACCTCATAATAACACAATAACATAAATAACATACCAACAACAATAACATAACACCTCATAATATAATAACACACCCCACTCCTACTAATAACACCCCACCTCCACCACCCACCTACACTACCACCATCACCCCCTCCTAATAACACTATCCTCATTTCAGGTACTGTGGATGAATTCACTCTGGAACACAATGGAACAGTGGTTGCCCAGTTCGAGGTTGAGGATCCGTTAAATCCCACACTTACAACCTTTGATTATTATTACGATCAGGTGAGTGATAAGAATTCATGTCGTTTTTTTTTTGTTTTTGTTTTTTTTCAATGTGTAACCTTTAATGATCAATATGAATAATAACTGTTGTTGGATCAATATGAATAATAACTGTTGAGATAACATTTGTTGATAGTAATTTATATTCGGTTTATGATAATCACTGATTGATAATCATTAACTAGCAAACAAAGAAAAAGGTATTTGATGACCAATTATTTCCATGCATTTTCTTTTTTGTAATGCGTGCGCACACACACACACACACACGCACACACACACACACACACACACACACACACACACACACACACACACGCACATACATACACACACACACACACACACACACACACACACACACACACACACACACACACACACACACACACACACACACACACACACACGCACGCACGCACACACACAAACACACACACACACGCATCATTATTATCATTATCATTATTATTATTATTATTTACGTATCTCTAGGAAGTCGAGATCATCGTGACAGTGCGGGCCATCAACTTCTTCGAAAGCGTTCCCTTCGACTTCGTCATGCTTATCGTGGGAGAAGTCAAAGGCTTGAAGTTGGACGACTATTCTGTTACTACTGGAAAGGTGTTTTGCTTAATTCCTTTCGTATTATTAGATAAACAATGCGTTTTTTTGCTTTGTTTTTGTTTTTTTGTCCCTTGTTATATAGTTTTTTTCATGATATATAGTTCTTTTTTCTTGATATATAGTTTTTTTCTTGATATATAGTTTTATCTTGATATATAGTTTTTTTTCTTGATATAGTTTTTTTCTTGATATATAGTTTTTTTCTTGATATATAGTTTTTTTTTCTTGATATATATATATATTTTTTTCTTGATATATATTTTTTCTTGATATATAGTTTTTTTTTCTTAATATATATTTTTTCTTGATATATAGTTTTTTTCTTGATATATAGTTTTTTCTTGATATATAGTTTTTTTCTTGATATATAGTTTTTTTTCTTGATATATAGTTTTTTTTTCTTGATATATAATTTTATCTTGATATATAGTTTTTTTCTTGATATATAGTTTTTTCTTGATATATAGTTTTTTTCTTGATATATAGTTTTTTCTTGATATATAGTTTTTTTCTTGATATATAGTTTTTTTTCTTGATATATAGTTTTATCTTGATATATAGTTTTTTTCTTGATATATAGTTTTTTTCTTGATATATAGTTTTTTTTCTTGATATATAGTTTTTTTCTTGATATATAGTTTTATCTTGATATATAGTTTTTTTCTTGATATATAGTTTTTTTCTTGATATATAGTTTTTTTCTTGATATATAGTTTTTTTTCTTGATATATAGTTTTTTTTCTTGATATATATATATGTATTTTTTCTTGGTTTGATATGAAGATACATCTGAGAATTTGAATCATGTATCATCTCCAACTTAATTATCCACTAATTATCTTTAATCTATCAACGATGGAAGGAAAGCAAAGGGAAAAAAACTAACCTAGAAAAAACAAAAACAAAAACAAAAAAAAATAGCAACAGTTTAGTATATAAATATATCTTCGAATTCTTTAAAGGGGCGAGAAATAATAATGAAAAGAACGTAATGACTAAATTAAAAACTAAAATGCTAATAAAAAAGGACTCTGCAATCAACAAACAAACAATAATGAAGTCCTAACTACACTTCTCTCTCCCATCACGAAACCAAAACACTTCATCGCCCATTACCTTTTAAATATTCGAGTCACTAAAAAATATTCAGAACATTTCCCCATTTCCCTTACCCGGAACGAAACCAAGACATGCCTGGCAACCTTACCCTTTAAATATTCGAGTAACTGAAAAATATTCAAACCATTTCCCCATTTCCCTTACCCAGAACGAGACCGAGACGTTCCTGGCGACCTTACCCTTTAAATATTCGAGTAACTGAAAAATATTCACATCTTTAAATAATCGTGTCACTGAAAAGTATTCAAGCCATTTCCCCATTTCCCTTACCCAGAACGAAACCAAGACGATCCTGGCCCTTGGCTTTTAAATAACCGAGTCACTGCAAAGTATTCAAACCCTTTCCCTGACCCAGAACGAGACCAAGACGTTGCTGGTGACCTTCGAGAGCATAGGCGGCTCGACCTGCCTCGTTGTCAGCTGGGGAGACGCGACTATGACAAGCTACGGGGACTTTTTCACGTGCACGTCTGAGAACATGAACATTACCTACGAGACCGAACCCTACCTCGATGTTTCCATGAATGTCACTCATGTGTACGAGTAAGTGTTATGTAATTTATTTGTCTGTTTTATTATTTTTTATTATATTTTTTTACGGTGTGTGTGTGTGTGTATGCGTGTGTGTGTGTGTCTGTGTAACAATGATGATCCCATTTTCCAAATGGACGTAGCGAAGATATCTATTGATGAACATGCATACATGCCATTAGCCCCAACATGTAGATGCCAGTACATAAGTCAAAAGGCTATAAAGGTACATAGTTCACAGCATACCTGATGAGAGTTAGGGACGTCAAATTTTGTGTGAAATTAACACAAAACCAAACATTCACTTGTATATGATATTGATGGATAGATCATTGGAATGCTAATAACCACTCTCCGTTTTTCCGTTTCATTCTCTTCAAGTAATTGTCTTCCTTTCTTTTCATTTCCCTTACCTTTCTCTTTATGTTACTCATTCTTTATGCTTAATAATTTTCTCATTTTATCTCCACCAACTTCTCCATTTCAACCGTTGTCTTCATATTAAATTCAGCGAAGTAGATTTTTTTCCCCACCAATTTCTTCAGATCTCATTTTCTCAACATCATTTCAGGGAAGAAGGACCATACACAATCACAGCCATGGCCTTCAACCCCCTTAGTAACGTGATCGTCGAACTCCTCGTCATAGTTACGTCGATTGACTGCGGACCTCCTAAAGCCCAGGTTATCGACGGCGTAGAATGGCATTACAATGCTCCTGCTTTTCATAGGGGGTACCTTGCCTCTGTCAGTACGGCGGCGACTCTCAATTGTGCTGTCACTTCGAAGACTAAGTGAGTTTTTGTTGGGTTTTATATATATATATAAATATGTATATATATATATATATATATATATATATATATATATATATATATATATATATATATATATATTGTTGTTGTTTTCTGTTTTTTTTTTTTTTTTATATCTCTATCTTCATCGTTCTTTCGTTCGCTTCTCTTTTCTTTCTCTTCTCTTATTATGATGGCGATAATGATAATGATAAAATGCTAATAATATTAATAATGATGATAATAGTGATAATAATAGTAATAATGATAACGATAGTAATGATAATAACAGAAATGACAATAATAGCAATAATGATAATGATAGTATTAATGTAAATGATAATGATAATAAGGATAATAATAATAATAATAATAATAACAATAATGATAATAATAACAACAACAAAACAATCTTCATCGTCGTTAGGATAACAATAACAACAATACTATTAACAAAAAAAAATCAAAAACGTCTTTTCCCACTCACTTCCCAACCCTTCCCTTCGTCCCCAAAGGAAGGAATGGAAAATCTACCACGCAGACAAGGAAACAGGTCAGATCACGGACGAAGTGGTGGTAAAGGACATTCTGCAATCTTGGAATCGTTCCGAAATAATCATTCCAGCGAGATTCCTGATGTACGGTCTCTATAAGCTGTATTATACCATCACTATGCACGGTGGGTCGGCGTGTTGTGTTGGGTGTGGGGAGAGGTGGGGGCGGGGGGGGAAGGAGAGGGGTGGGAGGTGGGTAGGAAAGGAGGGAGGGTGAGAGAGAGGGAGGGAGGGAGGGAGAGAAAGGAGAGGGGTGGGAGGTGGGTAGGAAAGGAGGGAGGGTGAGAGAGAGGGAGGGAGGGAGGGAGAGAAAGGAGAGGGGTGGGAGGTGGGTAGGAAAGGAGGGAGGGCGAGAGAGAGGGAGGGAGGGAGGGAGAGAAAGGAGAGGGGTGGGAGGTGGGTAGGAAAGGAGGGAGGGTGAGAGAGAGGGAGGGAGGGAGGGAGAGAAAGGAGAGGGGTGGGAGGTGGGTAGGAAAGGAGGGAGGGTGAGAGAGAGGGAGGGAGGGAGGGAGAGAAAGGAGAGGGGTGGGAGGTGGGTAGGAAAGGAGGGAGGGCGAGAGAGAGGGAGGGAGGAAGGGAGGGAAAGGAGAGGGGTGGGAGGTAGATAGGAAAGGAGGGAAGGCGAGATAGAGGGTGGGAGAGATGGAGAGAAAGAGGGAGGGTTGGAGAGATGGGGAGAAAGAGGGAGAGATGGAGAGAAAGAGGGAAGGTTGGAGAGATGGGGAGAAAGAGGGAGAGAAGGAGGGTGGAAGGGAGGGAGAGAAGGAGGGAAGGGTGAGCTGTGAGAAGGGAGGGAGGGAAAGAAAGAAGGTAGGGAGGGTGGGATGTGAGGAAGGAAGAAGAAGGAAGGAGGTAAAGAGAGAAGGTAGGAGACGTAGGGTGAAGCGAAGGGAGAAGTGAGTAGGAAAAGTGGGATAAAAAGGAGGGAGGGAGGAAGGGAAAGAGGGAGGGTAGGGAAGGGTGGGAAGGAAGGAAAAAGAGAAGAGAGGAAAAAGGGAGGGTAGGAAGGGTAGGGTGAAAAGGAAGGTAGGAGAGGGTGGAAGGGAGGTAGGTTGAGGATAGGGTGAAAAGGGTGGGAGGGAAGGAGGTAGGGTAGGAAAGGTGAGAGGGATAAGAGGAGGAAGGAAGCTTTAGGGAGGAAGGAAGGTAGATTGAGTAAGGAAGGTAAAGGGGGAAAGGGAGGGATGAAGGTAGGGAGGTTGGAAGGATGGTTAAGGGAGGAAGGGAGAGATAGGGAAGGAGATAGCTTAAGGGGGAGAAGGGGATAGGTAAATCAAGGGACTGAAGGAGAGAGAAAGAGAAGGAAAAGGGAAAATTAGGTTTTCTCCAACAGTCTCTCCAACAGAGCATAAAAGTAAATAGTTTGAGGGAGAAAAGGAGAAAGAGGTAGATTTCAGGGAGTGAATGGAAGTAGGGAAGGAGGTAGAGAGGGAGAAGGAGAGAAACAGAGATTATCTTTAGCTGTCTTAATAAGGTCCTTTACTCCACCAATGTGCATGGTTGGTGTTTTTACGATATTTTTGTATCTTTTTTAATCGAAGAGTGACACATAGGTAGAGAGAAGGAAAGGTGGATGAGGTGAGGGTGATGAAAGAGGAAGGGGATGATGGAAGGATCGAAAGAACGGAGGAGAGAGAGAGAGAGAGAGAGAGAGAGAGAGAGAGAGAGAGAGAGAGAGAGAGAGAGAGAGAGAGAGAGAGAGAAAGAGAGAGAGGGGGGAGGGGGGAGGAAGGGAGGAAGGGAGAGAAAGAGGTAGAAAGAGAGTGACAGAGATAGACAGACAGACTGAGATACACATCCAGAGAGAGAGAGAGAGAGAGAGAGAGAGAGAGAGAGAGAGAGAGAGAGAAAGGAGATATTGACGAAACAACCTGCTTCTCTCCCCAGACCCTGACGTGTTGGAGGACTGGATGGTATTCCAGAAGGAGATCGAGACGTACATAGAGATCATAAAAACGCCCTTAAGACCAATGATCGTGGAAGGGGGCGTGTCCTTTTTCATAAGAGGTCCGAACCAGGTCATTCTGTTCGAGCCAGCCAAGTACTCCCTGGATCTCGATTTCCCCGAAGAAAAAGTAAGTTATTAAGGGATAAGTGGCTTTCTCTTCCCTCTCCTCTCCTCCTCCCTCTCCTTTCCTCCTCACTCGCCTCTCCCTCTTCTCCCTCTCCTTCGCTCTTGCTGTTGCTCTCTCTGTTTTGTCTATCTATCTTTCTCTCCCTCTCCCTCTCTCGCTCTTTCTCTATATCTCTCTCTCTCTATCTATCTATCTATCGTTTTCTCCCTCTCCCTCTCTTTCCCTCTCTCTCTCTCTTTCTATATCTATCTATCAATCTCTTTCCGCATTTCATTTTTAAAAAGTTTCGCCTCGCATTCTATTCAATAAAGATAAAGTTTAGGCTGAGAATTTGAAGAAAAAAGTTAGTTATAAATAAGTTAATAAGTTAGTCATTCTTTCGTTTCTCTTCGCATTCCAAACATGAAACTAAGTTACGATTCACTATTTTTTTTTTCTCTCTCTCTCCTTCCTTATTTCTTTATCTCCCTTCTCTCCCTCCCTCCTTCCCTCTACCCTACTCTCCCTCTCTCGTACTCTCTCTCTCCAACCATACCGTCTCTTTCTCCCATCTTCCCTTCGTTCCTTCCTCCCTCCCCCCCCCCCCTCTCTCTCTCTCTCTCTCTCTCTCTCTCTCTCTCTCTCTCTCTCTCTCTCTCTCTCTCTCTCTCTCCTCTCTCTCTCTCTCTCTCTCTCTCTCTCTCTCTCTCTCCCTCCCACTTTCCTACCCTCTCTTCCTCCCTCCCTCCCCCTCCTTCCCTCATTCCCTCCTACGCTCTCTTCCTCCCTCCATCTCCCGCCCTCCAACTCTCTCTCACTCTCTCTCTCTCTCCCTCTTTCCCTCCCACCCTCCCTCTCTCACTCCTTCCTTCCCCCCTTCTCCCCCTCCCTCCTTCCTTCCTTCCCCCTCTCCCCCTCCCTCTCTCTCTCCCTCCTTCCTTCCCTCCCTCCTTCCTTCCTCTCCCCCTCTTCCCCCCCTCTCTCTCTCTCCCTTGACAGGAATTCAACGTGACGTGGTGGTGCCGTCAAGTGGGAGAAATTTGGCCGACAGATATGACTGCTTCTTCCGTCGAGGTCAAAGGCGCTTTGGGAACAGGATGTTTTGGTCACGGTCCTGGTAAGAGAGATGGATAGGGTTGTTTTTTTTAATTCAGTTTCGGATTTTTAGTTTTAAATTCAGGTTTTTTTTTAAGATTTCGTTTAGGATTTTGGGATTTCTGTGGGAGGGTTGAAGTCGGATTTTCAGTTAAATTCGTTTTTTTTTA